AGAACAGTGGTTTACTCTGCCCCTCTCTCCCGCCTCATCTCCCGTCTCTGCCACTGCCTCCTGCTCCCACCCTGCCCTTCTTCCCTTTAGTCTTGACTTTGGGGAAGTAAAGAATTTGACTTCGTGCCGAGCTGTGTGGTTGGTTTGCCTTCTTTGCTCACAGTAACCAAGTCCTCCTCGTGTGGCACACATGATAAAGCATGCATCTGGCCGGGTCAGGGGGCTGCCCTCTCCTGCCAGTCTCACTCCTAAAACCCATTTTCCCTGGCCCCTAATTTCTCCACTGCTGCTGTTGGTCCTGAGGTTCAGTTCCTCTTCACGAGCCTGTTTTGGCACATCCAAAGATGTTGGTTGGTTCGGCAGATGCTTTGGGGAACCTTCTGTGTGCTGGGGCCACGGCAGCCCAATCCCTGCCCTCCACGCAGGACACAGGCACAACACAGAAGAGACCAGATAAAGGATCACCCCTCACCCCGATAAGGGGCCCGGATGCTTCCGCACCAACCTCTCGGAGAAAGAGAACCTGGATTCCCTGCGAGAGAGGTCTGGGAGCGGGCCGGGGATCCCGCAGCGTGCCCGGGCAAACTGGACACCAAGGAATTGTGTTGGAGACAGCTCCACGGATAAGGGTGCCAGGATTGCTGTTGAATAGCACCCAGGCTGGCAGTCGGGACCACCTCCCACCGTAGGGAAGGGGGCATATTGACGCCCCGGAGTTTGAGCTGTGTGGCTTAGAGACCGCAGACTGCTTACCGTGTAACTTGAGGGAAATTGCCTAACTTCCCTGAGCTGCCAATGTCCAGTGTCCGTTGATTGTCCACAGGTATTGTGTTCAGTGCTGGGTGTACAAAGGTGGGCTCAACAGACTAGAGCCCTGCAATCCGTGGGGTAGGGGTGGGGGTGGGGGTCCAGGCTGGCCTGGTCTAAGTTTTCCTATTTACAAAAGTAGAGGTCTTAGCATCTTTCAATTCAGTGAAGTAATCCCGCCAAGACATTTTAGCATGGGGCTTGGTTTATAACCAGAAGGGGACGGTTGCCAAGACCCGGAGACCGTTTTGGTTGCTAGAATTGGGATGGAGGTGGGGGGTGGGGCTCGTGCCAGGGCTATTGCCTATTTCTACAACAAAGAATGATTCCGGGCCCAAGTTGGTGATAGTGCCAACATGGAGACACCTTGGACTAAATAAACAAGTTCTTTCTGGACAATTCCGAGCCTCGGCCCTGACGTTGGGAGTAAGGCCCTGTGGATGCGAGAATACCAGATTGAAGGCTGATCTGGCCATGGATCCCCCGTGATTCGGGGCACGGGAGCTTCCATCACATAATCTGAAATGAGACTGGTCCCTGCAGTGCACATCACTGAGTGCCTTTGTGGAGGGTGAGGGCTTAGGCTGGCACACAACACGTCTAGCCTGCTGTAGTCAGAAACGTCTTATAAGTAAGGGAAGATGGGGCCCAGGCTTGAAGTCCAGAAGAAGACTGCTTAGAGGCAGTGGGAAGTATCGGGCCCCAGGTTGCTGTGAGGAATGGAGGTTGAGGCTGGGCCCCCCCCGCCCCCCCCCAGGAATAGGGGTAACAGTTGTCATACTGCCCTCTATTCAGCAAGGTGCCGTTACAGGAGCAGCCTCAAAAGGTCCCAGGCCAAGTTTGGTGCTGGGCAGGCAGTGTGGCTTGGTGGCTAAGGATGCTCTGCTGTGGGTGGCTTAGCTCCATGCTGCTGAGAATACAGCTCCCCTGGTTGGTGGCCTCACCTCAGACACTGCTCACCTGTACAGTGAGGCCAGTTAAAACCTCCATCTTAGGAGTACTGTGAAGGTGAAATAAGATGACACATCCCAAGAACTTGGCACAAGATAAATGCTCAGGGAAGGGTGCTGTCGCCACCTCTGTGGTCCCTACAAGGTGAGGGAGAGGCCTCAGGCGTGGAGAGTGAAGACAGAGCTGTTCCCACCAAGGTGGGTGCTCTTCTCTTACTCCCTGGGCGGGCAGCCTGGGGGCCCAGCACTGCCTGGGCACTGGGGGCTCAGGGCAGGTGCTAAGAGTCGCGTGTGCTCCTCTCTGATTGCTGCGCAGGTCGGCCGGCGTCGGGACGGGCCGCCGGGCCGGGCTAGGAAGGTGTAGTGGGCCTCAGCGCCGCCAGGGCGGGCCCCAGCTCCTGTAACCGTTGCAGTCTTCTGTCCCTTCACCCAGGTGGGCAAGCGCAGAGGCGGGAACAAGCTAGCCCTCAAGACGGGAATAGTAGCCAAGAAGCAGAAGACGGAGGATGAGGTGAGCAGGTTGGCTGTGGGGATGGGCCAGCATCAGCTTGTCCGTCTGGGTTCAGCTCCTAGCTGTTGAGTTCTCTCCCTACCCGTGTGGTCGCTGGCTGAGGATGAGTGTGCCCAGTGGGGGTAGGGGTGGGGTGAGGCACACACAACAAGGGACCCAGATAACTCGACTCTGGCCCTTTGGGGTGATCCTGGGGACCAACTGTGGCCGGACTGTCCCGATTCAGATTCAAGGCCTCCCATTCCCAACCCTCTTCCCTCCCTCTGTTGCACAGGTATTAACAAGTAAAGGGGACGCATGGGCCAAGTACATGGCAGAAGTGAAAAAGTACAAAGCCCACCAGTGCGGCGACGATGATAAAACGCGGCCCCTGGTGAAATGACCTCCCCACTCTCGCCTGCCCGTGGGCTCAGACTCTGCGATGTATATAACTATTTAATGC